TCATGAATCGACAGGTAACAAAGTTTGAACCCACACCTCCCAGTAACCAGGTTACTAACAAAGGGCCAGTCAAAGCACTAAACTTGTCATTCTAATCTAAAGCATTTTGTGTATGAATCGACCAGGTTAAGATTCAAACCCAGTTTGAACCAGTCAGCTTTCATTAAGATAGATCTATTAGTTCAAATTCTATAACTCGCCGTCGTCCATCATGTAGATCTCGGCCTATACTTATTATGACGGCGAACAGTGGCACAGAGCTGCGACGAACCGGCTACATGCAGCCTCGTGTCACGGCTGTGCTGCACATTTTTTGTGATTCCATAACCGGCTACATGCGAAATATAACTATCGGTTGTGGTATTTAAGAAAAATCAAGTAGTATTTGGTCCCAACACTTATAACTTAACCTTTTGTATAAAAATATGAAAGATTGTGCTGCGCGTTTTAAAAATAATCAGTTTTTTGTCGCTCCTGTAAAATTTGCTTTTCTGCATGTAGCCGGTTTGTGAATCCCATCGACGATATACAGAAAAAAAAAGGAGAGGTAAGGACAATAGATGTTCGATAGGAAAGAACGAGCAAACTACAAAAGAGCACCGGCCTACCATCGATGGGCTACAGGTTGATGTGGCTGTTGGCCATCATTATTGGGAAACATTACAGAAGAAGGTATTGTCAGCGTTGCAAGCAATCCATGTAAGTTTGAGTACTTTTTACATCAGTGACAAAAAAACTTGTTTTTGTAAATTGTTATGTTGTTCCTATCTGGAATCATGAAAAGCAAGAAAATTATAAGCCATGTCCATATTATTAAACTGCATTTTGGTGATGGGGAAAGGTGCATCTTTGATAGAGCTTTGGGAGGGTGAGAATTAAAAAAATTTGGACTGATGTGGATTGCTTACGAAAGCGATATGTGAGACAATATCTGAAACAAAACAGAAGGGGCAGCTGGAGTCCACACCAACCACACACAAATAAGAGATGAACTCTGAGATTTTTGTTTTTTTTCAATTTTTCAAAGTGATCTTGTATTTTTTATTCATAAAAAGAGCTCAAAGCGAAGGTTTCACAAAGGCTTTGCTTGTTTCTAGCAGTTATCCACACATATACTTCAATTAGAAACTTCAATCATTGTACAGTCAAGCTCACACACAATAAACTGACACTCACAGAGTAAAACCTAAACTTACCTTTAACTTTGGTCGCCAGTAAAAGTTACCGTACTTAGTGATGAACTAGGAAAGAGCTCAATACACAATACAATCCACTGAAATGGATTTGTATTCTACTTTTCTTCCCATGACTCTATTTTCTACATTCAAACTCAAAGCAATAATTATCACTTCTTCATTGATGCTTGAAGCTTTCAAGCATTCCCTCATATCACAATAATCGTCATCACATCAAGTGAGTCAAAGTCAAATATATGAACAAGCAGAACACAGCTAGTGGTTAGGCTTCCAGACCTACAATTATGAGATTGCAGGCTTGGGGTTAGAGTCTCAGCTTGGTCGGAAGTTGTGTCCTTGGGGAAAGGCTCTTTTCATGAATTTTCTATTTGGCTCAGTCCTTTTGGAGATGGATGTTAAATCTCAGAAATCTCTTAAATAAATAGCCTTATAGCGTTGATAGGGGCATTAAACCTATTTCATTTCATAGCACAGAAAACAGGTAACAGTGATTCCACATTGATTTGTATGTCTTCATGAAGTCAGGACAGCTGTACAATTACAGTCCGTGCCGGCTTTAAGCACGCCGGCCTTCAGCACGCCGGCCTTCAGCACGTTTCGGACTCAAGCACGCTAAACGGCTCTTACCGAATTGTTTGCTATATAAATTACACGCCTTTAAGCACGTTAACTTCGGCTTCAAGCACGCTTCATTTACAAGACTGTCAATATTTTCATGATGACCCATCGAAGTTCGAACACAGTTTACACCGCAGCAGTGGAGTGTGTCAAGAGAAACACAAAGAACGCAAGTGATGGACACACACACTC